AGTCATTCATTTATTTAGTTATTTATTTGTTTATTTATTTATTTATTTATTTATTTATTTATTTATTTATTTTATTTTATTATTATTATTATTATTATTATTATTATTATTATTGCTATTGTTATTATTGCTATTATTATTATTATTATTATTCCTGAATATATGTAACTTCTTCTTTGGGTTATTTTCTTTTGGTAATGATTGTGTTTATTTCATTCTTATTTTATACTACAGAATTGATCCTTGGAAGCAAATCCGATTCAGAACTGATTGCAAACATTGCAGTAATCATAACATCAATCAGAAATTTAATCGTTACAGTTATGATAAATGGATAGTTTTGAGGTCAAGAAGTTTCATGAAAAAGAGGAAAATGTTGAGGATGAAAATCACAGTGACCAATCATCGGATCTTAACAAATGACCAATTAGAGTAACCGTTGACCCAATCCTATTATAACAACACAAGAAACTATAGAACAAATAATGTCAGCCGTATTACGATCGTTTCACATTTCAGGCCAGTTGCAATAGTGAAATGATTCAATGAGTGAACGGTTATTGAATTAATAAACAATCAAAAAATTGTTTTGGAAATGTCATCTTTTGCAATAGCTATAATATTTATCGATTGGGTTACGATATACCGGCGAGAAATATGATTCATACAGGAGCTACTGATAGCCTGATCAATGATTAGACGGAAAATGAACTCTAAAGAATCCTTAAAATTAAATTTGCACTAAAAAGGTTAAGGTCATAGATCTGATGATTAGTCACTACTACAACTTTCTAAATTCCAATGAAATCTATTATTCGAAAAGCTTGATTAGCAAATCATGAACTACATCATGAAAAAAAAAAACCCCCCCGATATTAATTACTAGAAACGATTTTGTCCTGTTCCACAAAAATGTCCTAACCATGTGTCCCAAATCATCTAATTTTGTCACTTTGCTTCCTGGTGTTTTTGGATGATTTAAATGACAAGCTTTTTTTCTCAAATTCATTTGACCTCACTTTAATAAATGTTAAATGTAAAAATTTGTTAAATCTAGAAGGAATAATTTTATCACAAAAATATGTTAACTGTTATGATCTTTGTGATCATCAACAGAAATCTTTGATCAATCAATAGCACTTTATTTAAACCTTTCGAATTATTTTTACATCTACCTAATATTTTGGTAACAGTTACTGTAAAAAAAAAAAAATACGCATATGTTTTAAAATGAAATAGTACTGTTAAGGAAACTTTAAAAATTTTTTTTTTCTTTTTTTTTCATCACATCAGATAATCTCCCAAATATTCCAATAAATAATTTTACTTTTTTAAAAAAAAAAGAAAATTCATCACAAACACTCTTCCTTCCGTTTTCGATCTTCTTCCTTTTTTTTTTTTTTAAAAAAAAAGGAAAAACTCTTCAATGGTGAATACTAGATTAACGATTGTCAAATGTGATCATGAAATTTGACAATTTCAAATCTCGTAACATTTCTACTAATGAATATAAATGAACAGGAAATTTTTTCTTTATAATTATTTGCTGAAATTTTGCATTCCTTCTCGGATAAATTCATCCGAGATTTATTATAGACGGGAAAATCAATACTTACGACGTAAACAGAAGAAACGTAATGGGTTCACGAAAGTCCATATAGTTGTACCAGCCGGAAATTTACCAAGCGAATATTCTGATAGATGTAATGCTGTAGCAAGACGACTAGACTGTACACTTACTCGATTACCAGCAAGTCCTTAAAAATTTTAAATTGATAAAGTATACTAAAAAGGAATTAATAATTTTTCGCATAATCATAAGATATGTATTTCATTGACATTAATCCTATCTCATTATATAATAATGGTTGACCTCTTATTAAAATGATGATTGACCTCAAGATTTCATAGATTTAAGATGAATGAAAATTTTCGAAACATTAAAATAATTTCTAAACGATTCACAAATACACCTGTAATAAGTGGATGAAGCGCAGCAATACCAGGAAAAACAACAATTGCTGATTGAAGTAATAAGCCACTGCAGCTGAAATCTGAAATAACATGAATTACTGATACTTTTGGAATTAGCAGCATTTATAAATTTTCAGATGGTCGATGAAGCATATGATAATTCAGTAACTTATCGTAACTTTAAATTGATCGTATTCAAAGTAAGAATAAATTTTTCATAAAAAAAAATTAGAAATTTGTAAAGCTTGATTGCAAAATTCCAGATCTTTCTTTTTTTAATTTTTCATCATCTTTAGATCAAAGATTCATCAGGTTTTTTTTTTTTTTTTTGTCACAAACACTGACCATCCAACAACAATAGCTGCTGTGACAGCAAACCAACTATCCCTTAGAATAAGTCTCGTACGTGGTTCCTTTACAATATAATAAGTGAGAAATGGTGTTGTACAAATTACAAATATCATCAGTACAATATTGAGAATGTATAATTTGTGGATATATATGTTAACCATTAACATACCTATACCAATCTGAAAGGTTACCTGAATTGATGATCTATAATATATCAATCAATCAATTTCAATAGCTACCTTTTATCTTCTTCCTAAAGCAGTAAATAATTTATGGGAAAATGAAGAGATCATAGAAAGAAAAAAAAAACAAAATTCATTAAACTTCGGAACAATTCTTGTTTCATCTAGTAACTATCTACTTGTTATTATAATCATATTTATTTAAGAGATATATAATTCATTTCTGACACTTAAAAAGTAATTTCAAAAAAAAAAAACTTAATCCAAAAAGTAAAATTATAAAATATAGAAATAAAATTTAATCAAAATTAAAATTAAAAAACATCAATTATTCAATCTATTTTTGTTGTATATGAAGAATAAATTTGGGGAAGAAAAATTTACCAGCATAATTAATGTGATAAAATCACTGGAAGTTGCTGTAAGCGGGGCAGCAATATTATCAGGATCAATACCATATCGACGAGTGGAAACAACAATTGTTATCATTAGGAAACCAACAAAAAATGAGGATAATGATGCTGTATAAATACCACTTGAAAGTACCACTATTGCATGAGATTGCTTGAACTGGAATAATTTTAATTAGTAATATATAATTGAAAACTATACAACCTGGATAGCATTTATAAATTGCATAATCGAAATATCAAGATAGCAAGTTGTATTAAGATAGCAATCAATTAGATAACAAGTTAGCAAATTGATAGCAAGATAGCAAGTTGTATTAAGATAGCTAATTAATTTCCATAATGTAAAGTAATTTCAATGGAAAAGATTTAAAATATTATTAGTAAGCTAGCTTTGCTAGCATTCGTTTTTACACTACTGTTAAATATTGTCAATTATGAATAATCCAGTAATCCAGAATGATAATATAATCGAAATTTACATAAATTAAAACGAACATTACAATTGATTAAACTAATTGCACTGCTTAATAAAGCCGCAAAAAATGATAAAACAATTGCTTGCACTTCAATAAGGCATAAATTAAATCGTGCAATGAAAAAAATTTCATCCGTTTTATTCGCTTTTCCTGCATTACTCTAAAATTATTTCCATTTTAATTTTTTAATTTGAGAGAAAATTTTTAAAAAGAAAAAAAAAGTAATTTATTTTTGACTATTTTTTTTCCTAATTTCTTCTTATCAATGAATTATAATTGCTAGGCTATTAACCCAAAATATTTGTATTTATCCATAATTAGCAATAACAAAAGAAAATATTGTCATCGAGAAAGCCATATTAACAAACCAATGTACAAAATCGTGATGCATATGTTATTTCAAGGTTGCCTTTTAAACCAAGTAATGCTGGTACCAGAATAAATGTTTCAGGTACATATAAAAAGTACCACCAATGTTGTGCTCGTTCAAAAAATAATCCAATACAAATTTGTCCCAATCCAGCAATAAAAAATGGTAATAATGTCTAGTAAATTTTTTTTTTTACAAATTTTAAATATGCAAATTTCAATTATTAACAAAATTTTCGAACAAATATTATTACATTTAACAATTTTTTTTTTGATAATTACATTTAACAATTCTTTTCTTTTTTTTATCAATGTAAGCGGTCAATGTTTGTCAGTTATCACTATCCGTAATCTTCCTAAATAAAAATTATCATAGATGTGGTAATTTGTATGAAAGGATAGATTCCAGAATATTCAGTCATTTTTTTTTTCATGACAAAGATAGATGACATACTTGTTTTAAAACGCTGATCAATATTGTCTTTTCTCTTTCGTCGCCTAAATGTTAAAATTAATCAAAGTAAATATTTTTTCAAGATTAAAATTTATCAACATCATATATCTATACTATTATCATATGAAATCTTTCAACGTATTTTCATATTAATGCAGAAATGCTCCCATATTAAAAAATAACATTTTGGGCAAAGATTTTTTTCGAAAAAAGCAAATTTTTGAAACCTTGAGTGAATCCCTGATGAGAATCCAATGTAGAATGTATTGATTCAGTAGTTACTGATTCTGATCGTCGTCGTATTTCTTCCATTGCAGTTTCTTCTTTCTTCACTGAAATTTTGAATTGGACTGATAAAATATTGATAGCTATTTTTATTAGCATGTACACTGCAATTTACATGAAAGCTTTAATTGCAAGTTGATTAATTACAATTTCTTCCGAAACAACAACAAAACAAACCGCCACAAAGATCCATAACAAGCAAACAATTGCAAATCAACCAAATCACTGATCTGATAAATTGAAAAATGAATTAACTATCTCATAATAGACCGTTTTCCTTTTTTTTATTCTTAGGTTGAATCCTCTATGACATTTACATATCGTCATATTTCAAATGCTACTGCTCCGTGGTTTTAACAGGATATTAACCTAGAATCTTTCAAGAAAAAGGATATTGTAGAAGAAATCGTGTTTAACCTCTCTTTGACCTTCATAAACACATTTACTGAAATTTTCGTTATATCTTTTAAATAAATGGTTGACAGAAAAAAGCTCTCATAGAACGTCATCGATCACAAAATTGCCATCTTTTTTTGTATTATGATCGACTGATTCACAAATATTTTAACTCAAAGAAAGATATAACTGATATTGACAGCATCTTAGCCAGATGATTTTTATTGACATATCAATTATAAATCACTATTTCATCATTATAATTTCACCACTATCACTTTTAAAATTTTATTTCTAATTGTTGAAATAGTGTAGAAATTTTGTACCACAAGTTTTCCATATAACAGAAGAATTCAAATTTGCACGCATATTATTTCTGGCTTCTTTTTTTTTTTGCATGTACCTTATCTGAAAGAATTTCGTGATAAAGAATCATAAGTGAGTATATAGTGATAATATTAATTTGCATATACCATGTTGGGTCGTGATAAGATTAAAAATTATCCAAAGTCTTTTCGGTATAAGTAGGATACTATCAATGCATAGAATTGTATATATGCTCATTGTTTAGCAATGTATGCTAATAAAAAGCACTTGATTAGCATATGCTAACAAAGATACTAATCTTTGTAATCGTAAAACCAAAAAAAAGAAAAAAAAAGAAAGGATATATATATGTATAGACCACGTACATAGCAGAATAACATTCTTCCTTTTTTTTTTTAATTTCTTGGATTAATGTCTTTGGAATTTATCGTGCGGCGATATTTTTAGAGCTTATTGTTACGTATTGTGTTTTTTAATTCATAGTGATTATGCGATGTTAACATTGTTTCGCTTATCTAATGGTTCAATTATCCAAATTTGAGATGAATATATTACACATGTTATGTTACTTTGATGTCTTATTGCAAAACTACGAAATGAATTGCACATGTTAATTATGTTACTTTGAGCCTTATTGCAAAACTATGAGATGAACATATTGCACATGTTAATTATGTTACTTTGATGTTTCATTGCAAAATTATTTTTAAAGAAAAAAGTATAAATTTTCCATTTTACACATCATTTTGCTATAATGGAAATAAGGGGAGGGGAAAATAAGGAAATTATAGTGAGATTTATGAAAATTATCAATAATTTTACAATTTTTCCTATTCAAATTAAACAAACTAACAATGAATACGAACAATTATTTCAGTATCATTTTCTACACAATATTAATACCTTATTGGAATTGTTTTAACCTGTCATTTTTCCGATTAGCCACCGATTTGACCGTTTTATTACATCTCCTCCTCTTTTTATATATAATCATCTTGATGTACCGGATAGTTGTACCGGAAATTTAAACTGGAATCTATGACTTGAGTGTAGTTAGGGCAATATTTATTGATCGCAGTAATATGAATATACTGATGTGCTAGGACTTTTATGAAAACTGGTTTTTTAATAGCAGGAAACATTATGTTATGATAATACAATAATTCTTTGTCATGAAATTTGTAACTAAAATCTTCAATAGTTGAACTGTTAAAAGTTGAACATTCCAAAATGTACCAGAAAGGATGATAGGCAGAATATTTGCCTTGTGAAACGAATTTACAGATTCTCACATTAAGGATAACAGTTGAAGGAGTGAAATTAATAGGGCAATAAGGGGCGAGCATGCTTTTTATATAAGGAAAAGATTCTTATCAGAAAATATGAAATTATCATTGGTTTTTGTTCCTTTTCCAGGTTTTCACGAAGTTACAGTGTTTGAAATGTCTAAAAATTAAGTAAGCAAATGGATGATTCATTCATGGTCATTATAAAGTATCCTTGAATAGAACCAAAAAGACTAATTTTTGCTATTATTTTTCATTTTCCACAACAACTTTGCATTAAATTTTTGTGGGTCTAGTTTTTTTTTTTTTGTTTCCTAAATTAATTCTAAGTATCAATTCTTAATTATTTTAGAACTAGAAATTTCTGATATAAATTTTTTACAAGGTACTTTGGTGTTTTTACTCTTAATTTTCCTG